CCAAGCAGACTGGCAGCTGAATGTAACATTCTAAACTGAGAGTGAAGGAAAATTAGTTTTTTGTTATTATTATCCAGGAAGACACAATACGTGTGCATTGTAGTCACGGCCATAACAGATACCCCATTAAGAATTCATGTGCCCTGGACGGCACTTTGCTTGTGTGCTGAAAATGCCGGATGATTAGCAGTCCTGCAAATGGTCACATGCTGAGAACGAGTGGCCAGACCTTTACTGCAGTTTAACTTTCCAGAATTAATCGCATTTAAATACCCACCTAAATTGGTGGGCACCTTCCAAAGTTAAGAATATATTATCTGGAGATGTTAGACAACAATGCTGATTCTGCTGGAGCTGCTAATGGGGAGCAAAATAAAAAAAAATATCTTTAAATATGGCAATAAAAATAAATTGTTGTTTAAATATGAGTTTTTGTAAGTGTGCATTTGCATGCTCTTTTGGGTATTTTACATACATTGCACGTTGCTGTTACAAAGGTGCCACAAAGCCACTAGATGTGCCAGTAATATGATTTGTGTGTTCACTCCAGGAGGGCCCAATTGCTTGTAGCCATTTAATTATGGTGTGTACACTCGGGTCCTCTGGACTGCACCGAATTAGATACCAAGACCGCTGCTTGATCACTGCTATTTAAGATGCCTCTGAGCTATAATAGTAATCCGCGTGGATATGGGATGTGGAGAGAGAGAGATGAGTCTACTGAACATAATTTGCAAATTTAAATTGTTGTACACCAGTCGTAATGCGGTCAGAATAATTAAATGCGTCGAGCATAATTAAACATTCATCTGTTTTTTGTTCAGCCCCCCCTGGCCTGATAAATGAACAATGGGTGCGTGCAAAATTATGCATGAAAATATTTTATCTGTCCGAAACCTTCCTGTGCCCTCTCGTTCTTGCGGCTGAATCTTGACAAAAAAAAAATTATTTGAATATTACAGTTACAGTTTTTTTGCAAATGTAATATAATCAAAGAAAAAGTAATGTTGTTTCCTGTTACAGTGATTGTATATCATCGGATTTAATTCCAAATCAATCATCATAAAGACACCGTGCTGTCGTTAAATTGTTTCAACTCTTAAATATTGCTAAATTCTGTACGTATTTCATTTGAAACATTAGTTTAGAATATGTATTTATACATCACTACATCACACTAAATAGATTAGGTTCTTTAATGTTCATTCAATTATATTCTGCAGACATGTAGGACGCCCAGAAGTCTGATGGCTAATTTTCCTTGCAACAACACAGTTGCCAAGTAATTGCCCTCTGACCCATACGCCTTTAAATAACATTTTAACAATCTACATAGCGGCGTTTTGTTTGTTTTGTAACACATTCATTACTCTGCCTCAATTTGGTTACGGGTTTTCTCAGAAAATGAATATGCCAGGCACGACCGTGGCATCGCACATGCCATTAATTCAGTGCACTGGAGGAGAGGGCTTTGTGTGCATCACCTAAAATGCCCAAACATGCTGGGTTTGCGAGGTGGCCACTATATGGCAGCACAGCATTTTAATTCCTGAATCCATTTCTCCCTGATTTTTGTGTCAGTTTTCTCCAAGTGCTCTAGTGTCCTCCAAAATGCAAAATAATCCGATTAGCATGTTTAGCTATGTGCAGTGCCAATTAAGTTCAACATACATGAATGGAATTGGCAAAAAAAAGAACATAGGGACTCGGTGAGACATTTTTCCAGGTATATAAATGACATTGTCATGATGATGACAGCCTGCAGAACAAAGCGTGGTAACAGCAGGAAAACGCATCTGAGAGCTACACATCTCCACATCGTGTCATCCACAGGGTTGCGAAGAGAGTTACTGGGCTAAAGAAAATTAGCAGACACCTAATCTGTGGAGCTGCTCCTACAAAGCACTGCAGATGGTGTGCATGCACAATGTGGCTCAGAAGGCTTGGCCAGTTTTATTATGCATTAGGCTCTCGTCGGGACATCACCGGGCCTTGCCAAGGGAGTGGGGGCTCAGCGTGAGTTCTGCCAATTGAGATTCGCAAGGCCGATTGAGATTCACAGCAAGCACGGGCTTAATTGTGTACAATACAAATGCATTTGTATGTTCCCTTCGCTGTGCACATGCAACCTTGGATCCAAATGAGTCGTATTGAGTTGTATTGAACGCACGGGGCGCTCGCACTTCCTCGAGTTTACCGTCATCAATGGGCAACTCGAATATTGCTTAAGTCACGTACGTTCTAATTAAAAGGGAGGGCAATGATAAGCACACCAACTTAGTTACGTCGTTACAGCGAGAGAGTAAAACTTTCCTACAAGTTGCTGGATGAGATACGGTATCTCTTTTGAAGCAGGAGTGTAATTATATGTTTAGTTATTAATGCAGTAAACTGGCCAAAGTTTTATTTGTTAACTAAGGTTTCAAAATCACAATGAAAAAAACCATTACAGCCTTTTTTTGGGGGGTGCTTGGAACGCACATTATTAATTTATTTAAAGTGTACTTTCATGTTCTGACACACGGTTCCATATGCGGTAACATAGTTTACTGGTATTGTATGTGGCACTGATATGCATGTGCTTTTGGTGGGTAACTATTCACCCTCTGGCTGTGTTGAATCGTCATGGTTTGAGTCAACGATTCCGTTGAAAGAATGGTTTTTTGTTCGTATAATTCATGCCTTTTCATTTGCATCTGTCCTCTCTCGCTCTCCCTCGCTCTGCGTTGTTCCCCGTTGTGAGTCCTCAAGGCCACGAGATTCGTCCGCACGTATTTTGCATACAATTTGCGTACACGTTCAAACGCTTGATTTGTAGATGCGCGCGCTTCAGTGCGCGTGTTAAGGCTGTACTCGTCGATATAAATCGACGCATCCGTGAATATTCTAGATATGTGCTCAGATATTGCCAGGGTGAAATGTGTATTTTCGTACATGCCTCATATCGGTGCGTTGGTAGATAACAGTGGGACCATTTGAGTGAGAGGCCAACCTTGCAAGGTTAGTGAGCCTTTATGTGAAAGCACATGAAAGAGGGTGCTCACATATCCATGCGGAATTTGAATGTTATTTCTTCACACGTGTGTCTTTGGCTTTTCATCCGGGCACACCCTTATTTTCTATCGAAGAAAGCATTGGCCAAGCCAAACAAAAAAAACCCACAATTCTTCCAAAGAGAGAGAGACCTGAGTCTCAGTGAGATGTGGCTGGTAAACAAACAAACGAAACAAGACCCCCTCTCCATTCTGTGTTGGGTCACAGTGGTTGTTTCACCATACTTTACCATACCGGTCAGTGCAGGTTCGTGGAGGGTGGTAGATGTGGCCAGAACCGGTTCAGATGTCACTCGCCACTGATGTGTCGTGTGCTAGCCACTGTGGCATCATCATGTATTGTGCTAGCCACTGCGATCATAGCGTGGTGTAATAGCTACTGCGCCATCATTTAACCATCGTTGGGATCTTAACTTGTCATAAATAAAGGTCGTCTACTTATTTACACGCATACAAGTACATGTGTGTTTTTACTGCCATATTTGTCCACAGTTGGAACTTCTGAAATAATTAATGAAACATAACTTGGCCAGTTATCTTTGGCAGTGTCAGCATAAGCGCATTAGTATGGGTAATCTAGCATTATAACAAAAAAAGGTAGGATTTATATCCACACACGCTTATTTTATTTAGTCCAGTAAAGAGGCTATTTACGCTGAATTGGGTCTGGATGTTTAGGATTACTGCTGCTTTGTCCAATAAATTATTTTTCAAATCTATGTTATACATTTATTTCATCTAGATATGTGTTTAGTCCGCAACTAAATAAAATGAAAGCGGTGTGTGCAGCAATTCTGCATAAGGCAGATGGCAAACCCTGTCACCGATTCAAAAAATCCACATAATTCAGAGATGAAATTAAATTTGGAGAAGGGATGTTTTTTTCCTATTACTGTTGCAAGCATCCTCTGCGCAAGTGTGTGTCCATGACATGGATGACTGACTACTTCTGCAGCTGTTGATGATGAAGCGTTGTTTTTTTATTGGTTGAGCAAAGCCCGTTCACGTTGACATGCAGGCAGCAAATTGTTCAAAGAATAGGTTATCACTACCCTATCAATTATCGCCTTGATTAGTGCTTACGAATGCACGCCAAATTAGCCATGTGTAGACCAAGTTGTGTTGTGAATGTTTAGATGATGAATTTGACAGCCGGAACAATTGCGTAGTGATCACGGATCTTATAAATTATACTTTGGTGCATGTTAGATTTGTTTGCCTAATTAAAAAGTTAGGTAACTTTTTCTAAATAAGCCTAGTATCTGCACAATGCTCTCTCGGATCGCTTTTCTTCCAGAAGGCAGCTGCTGCTGCTGCTGACTTGTATGAAGGTAAAGAGACATAAATAGAAGAAAGGAGGCAGTTTTTTGGCAAAATGACGTGTGCCTGCTATGTTTATGAATATTTTAGTTATGAGCATCCAATCTCGTATGCATTGGTTTAGCCATTTGCCACTGTACAATAGTGTTTGTGCAGAGAAGAGTTCAAATTCGATGTGTTTAACCAAGAGAGAACTCAAGAGACCAGGACGAGTATCATTGCAAGAGAGACCTGGCTGACCCAAAAAGTAAAACAAATTAAACAAAGCACGGCAATAACGCATAGCGATCAGAACACAAACAAGGATTAAAATAAAACTTAAGAAGAGAGAGATGGCCTTGTATATTTCATGACATCCTCAACATGTGCATGTTTGTGTTATCATCTCTCTTCTGTAATGGTGCTTCTATTGTAATTTCACTAATTGTACTTTAGTCTAAGTGCCCTCTGTTAGGAAGCAATTAATAATGTGAGTGATCAAACTGAATGCCGGTTTAATTAATTTTGAACGGATGTAATTCAAAAGCTTTTGAGTCTCAGACGCTCCTTGTGGCTGCTTTAAGTGTGGTCGGTGCAGACGAGCAGAAATAATCGCGTGCGGTTTTTATTTATTTGTTTGTTTGCTAGGCCGCTGAAGAGACGGTGCGAGCCAAGAAGGCCGATGTAGAGGAGACAATCTCAAAAGCGGAGCGGCTGGAGAGGAAGGAGACTCTAAATCCAGCCGCAAAGGTATCAACTGCTACGACATCTCTGACGCATGGGACAAACGAGGTCGCCGTAACAATGTGCACGCCGTGCGACCGTGGGACGGTGGACAACGCACCGGCCTTGCAATCCGGGGGGTCGCCGCTTTGGTTTTGATCTCCCCGAACACGGCAGTTGAAACGACGGTGCAAGTTGCTTGAATCCCACCCAGAAGTATCAATGGGGTCACGCACCACAGCTTAGTCGATCGGCAGCTCACGTGCGGCGGAATGAAGCCTGGGTACTCCCACCTCTTCCAAGACGTGTGACCAGTGTAGACAAAGAGGTTAAAATACCCAAAAAGAGGAACTCTCTCTCGTGGAGGCGTTTCTGCCAGCAGTGACGGCAGCAAGAAATTGCGGTGCTGCGCCTTAACTTTTTACCAGTGTGTGCAGGCGCCATTGCGCAGTGATGCAGGAGTCTGCAGTGGGAATGCGATTAGAGTGTGTGCGTTGTGGAGTGTATATGTGTGTTTATTTAGTGATCATGTACAACACCAGTGACATATGGTGTATGAACTTGTACTGAGCTTCCCCGAGGTCAACTCAACTTTGAATGAGTAACCCATGATGCGTGCACTTGCGGAGGCAAGGGAAGCGAATTATACTGCTTGTGTAGAAATATCTGTCTCATATCTTATGCGTATACAGTATATGCATGTGCATAAAAGTGTTGGCAATATGATAGATTATTTTGCTCGTCCTCCTGATGTTAATATAAGTAATGCATTTTGGAGGTTACGGGTTCATATTGAACGTTATGTCTGACTTCTGGTAAGACTTCTTTATTGGTTTTCTGTGGTATGAAGGAGCATGAGTGTTTGTGTAAGTGCACGCACACAGGAACGATAAACATCGGTTGGTCAGTGCAACCAACCGTTCAGATGTAACTGCTTATACGTAGTTTGTTTGCCTATTTTCAAGCTGACAGCATGAAATTGGTATCATATATTACCTCTCTCCCAGCTTGTCAAAGCAGTGATGGTCCTTTTTCACTGAAAATCATTGTTAGAAAATTTTGTCCGTCAGCCCCGAAAGCGTGGGGCAATGAGAACCTCGCAACAAGATATCAGAGCTGAGGTGAATTGGCGAGAGTCGGTCACAGCAACGTGAGTGGACTGTAACCCATAAATGCTGTTGGACTCGTCTGTGGGCACTGACAGAGCTACCCAGATTTCTCAACAGTGGACGGGGCGGGCCAGTGGCAAGGAAGTGATGTTATTTTCAAGGCCACTCTTTAAGGTCCGCTTTTGCCAACTGCTTGACTCATTTAACACATGCACCATTGGAGGTGGCCACCATTTAGTTGGGGGGTTCAAATGGAAGGGAGGTCGGAGCTACGGGCTCCAAGGAGCAAGGTTGAGTCCCGTGCGCACGCTCGCGGTCAGGAAACAAAGCGGCGTCGCTTGCACGGCAGTGTCAGTCTCGCCGCCACCGCTGCGCTCACGTGGGATGCCTACAGAGCCGTTGTTGGTACGCGTTTGTTGGGATGTCAGAGACGCATTGTCATGCAAAAATCGACATAATGAGCGTGATGTTTTATTGCCTGTTCCCCCAAAGGAGCGGCTGGTACAGCTCAAATCCGACTGGGCAGTTTTGAATGACCTGCTCAAAGACCTCAAGCAGGCAACGCCTGAGGTGAAGAAAGTGCCCGGAGGTGAGGAGGGAATGAGAAATCTTCGCAACGTGCGCCCGCGTGTGTGTGTGTCTGTGTCTCCGTATTCGTTGCCGCTCGCCTCTGAGCGAGGGAGCAGTAGCTGAGCGACCCGCGTGCGACGCGCGGTGACGGCCGGCGACCCGAGCGTCAACGACGGCTCCGGCGAACGTCAGCGGCCAAGTTGTTTGATTCTCAGTCCTGTGTCTCTCACTGGGTCGACTCGGCCTCGAATGAGTAGCACGGGGGCACTGCTGGGGAGACGGAGGTGCCCACGAGTGGCTCCGGCCACGCCACCCCGTCAAGCGCCACTCCTGCCTTCATAGGCGCTCGCCATGAAGGCAGGCGTGATCACGAGAATGAGAATCTTTATTTAAACTGGATGAAGCCAATGAGCTATGAAGCTCTTTTTTTCACGGATGTCCATACCCCCGACTTGGACATTCAAGTAATGTTTTTTTTTTAATAAGAAGGGAGAACGTCTCTTTAAAATACTTGTGGTCTGCATGCCCCTGAATAATAAATTGTGTCCTTTTCTGTCATGTTTAATTATTTCCTATTATAGTTAAAGCAATGAAGAAACAACAATACACAGAATGCACTTGGACATGGCTGCAGTAAAAAAAAAGCAGACTTTGTTCTCCCAACCCCCTCCCCCCCCCCGAAGGTTTCCAACCCTCCTGCTTGTTAATAACTTTGTCCAATTGATGCTGCAGCAGAGCCCAGTTGATGGGAAACATGGCAAGAGCCAAATTGACTTTTCCCGACAAGCTCCTTCGGTGAATGCATTTGTTAAGTACCAAATTAATATGTAAATGAGCGACGATGTAGGCAAGTTGCAGTTCAGTGTACGTGGAATGTAAGAGTGTACCCAGAAAAAAAAAATGCCGCCTAAATGAAATTGGTTTGGAAAATATATTCACACGTTGCGATAAAATGTATTCTTGAAACCAATATATGTTTATTACATTTTGCCTTGGCTTTTTCAGCCCGGTGACAGGGGTTCAAACGCCCGTGTAATGCACGCACGCATTTAGCTAATTACTGCTGTTTCCATCCCCCTCGCCACACGCGCACAAACACACGCACGCACTCATGCACTCATGCACTCACGCACCGTGGCAGCCCACACAGCTGTACAGACCCTCACCGTGGTGACGGTTACCAAGGAGACGATCGCCATGAAGCCCGAGGCGGGCGCCACGGCGACGCCGCCGCTGGCGGCCGAGCTCACCGATTGGCTCACGCTGCAGGATCACATGATCCGCTCGCACGTTGTCACCGTCGGGGACCTGGACGAGATATCGGAAGCAATACGGAAGCTGCAAGTAAGCGTGGAGCAATCGGATGAGCTATGAAGCTCTTTTTCACGGATGTCCACTTGCGCACGAGCGTTCGCACGCTCGTGTTCGTGAAGCACGGACACGCGTTAACGTACGTGCGCACGCGAGTACGCGCACGTGCACTTGCGATCGCAGCTGCACGCAAAGGGATACGGAGACTGGCAGAGACATGCATTGTGTACGCGTGCGTAAATTCATACGTAAGTTCATTAAGGCTTTGGAACGTAAAAACAAGCAACATTTACATTGTGTCCGTAACCCGTCAATCATCTCGGGAGCCGAGAAATGAAAAGGAAGAAATGATAGTGAATGGAACTGAGCAGACCAGAATCGCATTGGCATAGTGTCATGGGTCAAACGCTGCAAGGTGTTTCGTAATACCACATGCAAAGACGCGTTAGGGTGGAGTGGCAGGTCAGTGGTTGGCACAATGCTCTATAAACTTGGTGACCTTGGTTCGATAGCTGACCACAGCTAACATGAGTTAGCAAGTGATACTTCAATCGGTCCTGATCCCCACTACCACCCACTTCCACCAACTCGCATTAACCAGCCTGGTGAAGCATGGTCAAAACAACCACCATGACCAACAATGGAATGATGAGACCTTTACTTTATCCAGCAGTGGAATGATAAAGGGCTATATATTATTTATTTATTTTAAAGTATGCTGCGCGCGTTGACATTTGAACACATTTTACAGAGATTTAAATAATTGTTTATCATTATTATAAAAAAAATGAACAATTGGTATTTTATTTTATTGAAGTTTATAATTTAACATGCAGTCACCAATTCACTACGTGTGTGTTTCATATACAAATGTTGGTGGCGAATGTGTGTTTTGATTTGCCCTTCAGAAGGTTTGCTTATCTAAGACAACAGACAGTTAATTAACCTGACTGATCAAGCCAAACCTGTTTCACTGATAACAAAACCACCCTTGAAATCACAAGTAAATTCCAAGCTTGTCACCAAAAGAGGGATGGCGTTCAATTTCCAGGAAACTCGAGTGTTCCCTGAATCATGCAGAAATAATGGTGGCACGCTGGTGATCATAATTCACGTGCGTATTATTAGTATTACCACAGTATTATTGTTTACAGTCATCAACCATTCTCCATCTGCTGTTGGATGAATGGTTTTTGATATTCAGCAATGGCACTCACAGCTTTAAACGGCTGCCTCCTGACCACAGAAAGTCATACACTTTATCACTCCATCCCCTGTTCGGTCAGACCCTTGTGTATTTGCAATGCCTTAGCTGTTGACAAATCGTGGTGCTTTATATCAATTAATCCTGCCCAGGTCCATTTGTGTTCCTTCGTCATGATTATAATAGCTAACATGTCTGTCCTCCCAGTCACAGCATGAACTGTCCCATTCCACTTTATCTGCTTTCCATCGTATGTGACATTCATTGTTCGTCACCATATTTTCGATCAGTATGCTATCATTGGCAATATCTATTGATTATAAAATAATTCATCCAGACCCGATGGTGATTGGTCCTTTACAAGGCTCATCTGCAGTGCCTTTTCAAGGGCACAAATAAAACATAGTCTGTGCACTTATATGACAAATTGTATTTCATAATGGTATAATACTGAATGATACGGAACACATCCCTGTAATCAAAATTATCACTGTCAGCGACATCATCCAAACCACATATAATATGGAATATATAGACATCATCGTCATCAGAGTAACAAAACAATGTTTGCTTCGGACATCAAGTAATAATGAGGGTCATGCAAAAACAGGGCACTCTCAGACAGCGAGAGACATTTTGATCATTGATTAATAAGAGCAGCTTGCTCGTGTTTTTGCCCCAGAACTGCTATAAAATGTGAACATCACAGGTCCTTTTAAGTCGGCGCAAATTACCGGACGGTGCGGGAATCCGACGAGTCACCCACGGTGCACTTCACATCGAATGCAGGGGGCCGAAGGCTGTGTCGGTTTTGCTCCATACAGAGTAACAAAATGCGGAGACGTTTCCTGTCCTGCCCCAACCAATCATGGTCACTACAAAGACCCCCCCCCCGTGTAGCCTGCAACAGACTGTTAGGGCAAGCGCTGTTAGCGAGCACCTATGAAGGCCGGCACGGCGCACGAGGGGGTGGGTGGCCAACATCACGCCCGGCCGCCTTTGTCTCCCCAGTGGCGATGTTTACACACCACAGCAGGTGCTCATTTGAGATTTAGTCGACCCAGGGGAGGCCCATGACCGGTTCAGAAAATGGTCATCGGGGTTGGCCGTGAGCGGGAATCGAACTCGGGCCGTCCGATTCGTAGCGTGGCACTAACCGCTACACTACCGCTGGCCACCCACCACACAAGATGCCACCGTTGTATAATGATTTGGCACACTGGACCTGCAATCCAGAGGTCGCTGGCCCAATCTCCCGAGCATGACAGTTGAAGCGATGTGCAACTTTCTGAACCCCCGCGGCAATCTGCGCAGCCAGCAGATCGAGTATAGTGCGTTAAATTTGCGGGTAGTCTAACTTCTCGCAAGATGCCTGGCCAATGTGGAAGAGGTCAAAATGCCCTCCAGATGCGCTCTCGAGAGAATCCCTCTAGTTTGGGTCCTTCGGCCAGCAGTGACGTGGTCAAGTAATTCCAGGGCTGCACTTTTACCTGTCTCTTATTGTCTGTAAACTAATTTTTCTCCCCTGCACCACCCCCCCCCCCCAAATTCCCCAAACCCCTTTTATCTACAACAGAGGGTGTTGGCAGACCTGGACCAGAGGCGACCTCAGTTGGAAGAGCTCATCACGATATCTCAAAACTTGAAGAACAAAACGGGTGACCCAGAGACTCGAGCTAACCTCACTGGAACCAGTGAGCGCGCACGAAACACTGATTATCACCGTGCGGCCGTAACCTATAGCCGTTGACGTTGCGTGCTCACGGCGATGGTAAAATGCCACGCTCGGAGCACGTGTTCTCACAACGATCCCTTTAAGTTACCGTACAGTACGCGTAAAAGGGCAGAATTGCAAATTGACGGTTTGCACGCAGCGAGGTCGCTTGCGAAAAACAAAAATGCCCGCGACTTATGGGCCATGCGTGCACCGGGGGCGGCGCAGTAGGGACGGCGTCGTGTCCAGGGCGCCCTCGCAGGCCTCGTCTGACGCCGATAACGAAGCTCAGCTTTGCGACGACCTGCCCGTGCTTTGAGGTCGGAGGCGTTTCGCGACAGAGCCGGTTTTACCGTCCGCAGTTCTGTTCGCCCTGATTCTGTCAAGATCTCATGAGTTTATGGCAGCGAGCGTGAAGCGTGTATTTAATTTTGAGGTCATAACGTGTGGAAATTTTTGGGGGGAGGAATTAAAACTATTTGGTTAAATTATAGAAGTTGTACCAATTTAAAATTTTAACATGAATGTCTTTCTCCATAAATACGAATGCCCTTCACCAGCTTTGAGGGAAAACGTGTTGGATGTATTTTAACGTCTAATTGTTTGCTTTCAATCGGTATCAAGTGTGTGTTCGCTGTGCTCCATGTATCTGGTGATTGCTACCTATGCATCCTTGTGTTGGGTATTGGCTGTTAGTGCTCGAAAGCAGCATTGTCAGATTAATGGCTTTTCCGCTAAATCTAGTCGCAGTAAATGAGGCTTAGACGAAAATGTTGGTTGGAAGGTTTAATTAGGATAGATTACTTACTTGCCTTGGGCTTTTACTCTAGTTTATATACCCTTGGTGTTAATATTCTTGGCTGACAGGCTTGAGACATGTGTTTTATTCAGACACAGGAGCAAAGATTTGGATCGAGTTATATTATTTTAAATAAAAATAAAAGAAAATTGTACTGAATTTTACTGTAGTGCGGATTTGGGTGGAATTTAACTTCACCTTAGTAAACCTGCTTCTGTTTGTTTGGAAGACAGATGGCCAGGCAGCAGGTATGCAGGCAGACAAGTAAATAGATTTTCTATATTATTTGAAAAGATTTAAAATGTAGATAAACACGGTATCTGGGAAATACGACTAGTACGTTTGTCAGGAATGGGTCATACCTTGAAATATTGGCTTGTGTTCTTTTTTTTCTCAGTTCCAGGTCAGTGTTGATGATAAATATCCTGAGATTTTATTTATTTATTTGTGCTCATAGTTTTCTGGCCTGTCATAATTGTTTCATTTCCTTTCCACAAGCAAAAATATGCAATAAGGCCTTCAAGAAAGTCTTAATTCTCAAGAAGGCTTTAAGTGGTTAATGACCAGACTAATATCATCATTTGTCAAAAACATCTTTTTAAATATAATTGATTTTAAAACACACCTGCACTAATTGATTAGGGTGCCGCAGTGGTGCAGTGATTAGTAGCACTCAAAATGCGAATCTTTATTTATCCTAGAGAAATTTGATGATCTATGAAGCTCTTTTTCACATATGTCCAGTAGGGGCAGGTCAGAAGGTTACAACAACAACTCTACGTTTATGTATATGCACGCTCTTCTGCCTTTCTACCATGGTGTAATGGTTACAACCTCCGATTAGCACGTTTGGCTATGTACGGTGCGAAAGAAGTTCAACTTACATGCATAAAACACACGTACATGGCACGCTAGACTTGCAATCCAGAGATTGCCACTCCAATTCAGCCTGCCGACTCGACAGTTGAATCAATTCGATCGTTTCTTAAACCCCCCACCCCTCTTCTTGCATCCTCTCCACGTCTCTCCACCGATTGGCATGCGTGGGTGCACCGCAGTGAGTCGACCGGGCCGGTCACGTGTGGTGGGATAGATGTCATTTTGGGCTACCTCCACCTCTTGGCGAGAAGTTTTCGCGATGATCGGAGAGAGTCGGCCAAAAGAAATATCCTCGAGAGGGACTCGGAGCTCTTTCTCTTCGGAGGCCATTCCACCAGCAGTGGTGTGAACCACGAATGGCAGGTAGTTTACCTTTTACCAGTGTGTGTGCAGGTAGCATTGCGCAACGATCCAGGAGTCTGCCGCGGCATAGGGGAAAGCAATTAGGGCGCTTGCTTTGCGGGTGCGAATGTGTCCGCGCATGTGTAGGTCGAGTATATATGTGTGTGTGTGTGTTTATTTCATGGTCACGGGTACAGCATCATCGGGGTATGGTGTTTGAACTTGTACGGAGCTTTCCCTAGGTCAGCTCGGCTCTAAATGAGTGACTCGGGATGCACGCAAGCATCGACACTGTTGAGGCAAAGAAAGATGATTATGCTGCTTGCGGGAAATCGTCATATCAAATCTCGTCCGCACCTTAATGATTTGTTATGCAACTTGGTTGCAAACAGCTGATTCGCTTACATGTGGACGTCTTTGCAACCACCTGTGAACGGTTGCGCACCCGAGTGCTTCAGGTAGAGACAAACTCTTACTTTCCAGCGACCTGGCCAGCAATTTGAGCGGCGTATCTTTCATCACGTGCGCATCCGTAAGCCCAGGATCGTTGTCCGGAGTCCCGAACGCGCTGTCACAATTCCCTTTTCGGACCTCTACTTGGCGCGGTTACGTTCGGCTTCAACCCACGCACTCCTCCTCCCCTGCAGTCGACCGCGCGATGACGCTGTACGAGGACCTGCAGCGACGCGTCGCCGGGCGGCAGGCCCAGCTGCAGGAGATGCTGCACGACTCGGCGCAGTGGCACGAGGGCCGCCAGGAGGCCGAGCGGCTCGTGGCCGCGGCCGAGGGACGCCTGGCGCGCCTGGCGCAGCCCCCTGCCAACTCGAGCGAGCACATCGCGAGGCAGATCGGCGAGCTCAAGGTGCGTCCCACCGCCACAGTGCCCTCTCTCGCTCTCTCGCTCGCTCTCTCTCTCTTACGCGACCGACGTACGACGGTTTATTTTATTTGACTTTACGTATGGGTACGTATGTTGCGGTCGTTGAGCGAGTAAAACCGTAAGCTATTTTTATTTTACCAGGTAAGGCCCCGCTGAGGTGTGTACAGCTCTTTTTTTCAGAAGCGAGCTGGACACAAATGATGGCTCGACGAAGTGGCTTATCACGTGGAAATCTGTAGCAGCGAAATTACTCTAAATGCGTGATGTTGATTCTAAATGTGGAGGGAAAAACCGCAGGACCTGGATAAAAATCCACGCAACCACCGTGAGAGCGACACGCAAACTCAAAATATAGAGCAGGCGTCAGGGCCGTCATTGAAACCACGACCTCCTGTATACCAAGCGAGGTAGTTATCATCTCGCCACCGTTAACATCTCGGAGAGACTTTGTACATCGCCTGCGCTAATTACCGAAACTCACCCTGGCTATCAAACAGACAGAGAGACTCATGAGAGACAGCGACGGGGTTGGAGGTTGGCCACGGACGGGGCTAAGGGCGCACGCTGGTCCTTCCATGTTGACACCTTCAGCTTGAGTTGAAATAATTAATGGAAATTGCGGAGCACAAGCCCAAAGGCCCAGTACGTCAAGTGTTCAGCAACAAATAGCACGCTTGACGATGAAACAGATACGAGTTTATACGTTTCTTGAATTGAACAAGGTTGTGAGAACTTGGAAAAAGATACAAAGGGAGGGAATTTCCTGAAGGCGAGCAGTGCGAGGGAAGAAGCAGGAAGAGATTCGGCAGGCAGGAGGAAAATGTTGATGACGCACGCTTTGTTTTGCTTTTGAAGTGTGGTGGTGGAAGTATTTTACCCCAGTTGTTACTTTAGACCAGCTCCATGTCAGGGAATATGTCGTGGTGTAATGGTTAGTATATTGGACTTGCAATCCAAAGGTTGCCGGTTCAAATGAACAGTTGTAAGAATTGACACGTTCCTAAAATCCCGCCTACCGCCTCTTTCCATCCAGTCGTATAAACGGGCACATCGCAGTTGGCCGATTGGCCGGTCACGTGCTGGTGGAGTAGAGCGCGGGTACTCCCACCTCTCTTTTCTTCAAGACGTCTGGCCGGCGTGGCTAAAGCAACGTCTGTGTACAGTATAGCTTGTAGCTTGCCAATTGCTCTGGTTTGATGGAGCATTCATTCGTTGGGAGGACGGGATAAAGAGGTTGGAGGAAAGGGGGGGGGGGTAGGATATTGCCTCCCCCCCGGATTTTATTTTTGAACAGCTCCATGCTACACCAAAATAGTGGATTGTAAATCCGCGTTACTGCAACACTAACATACAGCCATGCATTCAGCAATCCTTGTTCAATATTAATTCGCAGCTCCCTCGGCAATATTAGGGTTCAGGGATCAGTTGACGAAAACGCCTTAGGTATAATATGCCTGGGTTTGTGATTCGTACAGTGAATTAATACCTGGGCTTTCTCCCATTCCACTGTTCCCCAATGCTTTTTGTCGTCATTACAAATTAAGCAGACGTGACAATGTTTCGAGTTAAGAGAGACTTGGAACACGCTGATTTTTTTTATTTACGTTTCAAGCTTGGCAGGTGTAGACTCTAGTTTGAACGCACGATGTTAATTTGCTATTCAGCCGACGTGGTGGGTGGAGTGGTGGTTGGAGTGGTGGTTGGAGTGGTGGTTATCGCACTCGTGCCACGAACTTGGGTGACCCGGGTTCAACGCCCAGCTAGTGCCAACAACGTCAGTGGTGCGTGATATCTGGATCAGTTCTGACACCTCCACCCACCCCCCCCACTTCTTCACTAACCCATACAGGCCAGTGTGGGAGAGCCTCTTCATCCAGCAGCGGATTGACCGAGTGCTTTGACTTACGAATTATTTATTGTTTATCCAATTTGAGCGTTACACTTTTTGCCGTACTGTTTTGCAGACGTACCAAACTTGAAGTGTTTTTTGTTCACATATATAAAACAACAGAGATGCTTTTGTGCAATGCAGTAAATGGAATAGATGTGGAAGATACTTTTTTTTATTTTGTGGAAAATGTTTATATGTGCATGATGCCGTATTCACAGGAAGTGATGTCGAATCGAAGGTGTTACTTCGATACTTTTCCTACCAAAAGTGATCACATGGTGTAACATTTACTGAGATTATTAAATTTAAAAAAATGTTTACATTAAAATGTGCATACAAACTGCAATTCAGTGAAGAATATTTAACATTTCTAGAATAATTACATTTTCGGCATAAACAAGTTTATTTAATACATTTAGATAACAAAAAATATTAAACAATAATGAAATAGGGACTGATATGAAAAAAGATATGAAATCCAAAACGCATCATTGTGACATGTATAATTCTTATATATGCTTATGCAGTATTCTGTTTTAATGTTGCATTAATTTTGAACTTTTAACTAAAAAATGTAAACTATTTTATGAACCAGGGCAAGCCCACCGAGCGATGAGCTCGTTTTAAGAGGCGACCTGTCCACACACCATATCTCATCGAAGTGGTTTGTTAAATGTGGAAATTTACAGGAGCCAAACAACTTAAACGCATATTTCTAAACGTGGAGGGGAGCAAAAGCAGAGGACCCGGAGGAAAAAATCCTCGTGACTACCACGGGGAGAGAGAGAACATGCAAACTCCAAATATACAACACAGGCATTGTTGGGGTTGGGATCGAACCCACGCTGTCCATTGTGGCAAGTGAGGGAGATAACAGCTCCTCACTACCGCAGCGACTAAACTAGACTTTTGCTGCATCTGGTCCCTGATGGTCGGTCATTCTCTGTACAGTTATCGTTTTGTAAAAGTCTCCAAAATACATCTCAAATGTCCTCGCTATGTATCTATCGTTAGATAGGAACCCGCCACACCCACCATTGTGTGTGCCACGCTTGGGGGTTGAAATGGGAAGGACTTTTGGGAAATAAAAGTCGCCAAGACTTTTCTTTTTTCCTTTCAGCACAAAAGTTCCATAATTGGGTAATTGGGGAAATCAACCCGAATAAAATAGAGGAAAAATCTGGCATATAAAATGTCCGGGTTATGGGAGGGTTGCCAAGGTTATGCCCTTTCAGCAATCCAAGGTTCTTAAATTTAGAGCCAATTCTGCCTTTCATTGTGCAATATCCGGCAGGCAAAGAATGAAATTCAGTAAAAAAAACCCAATGTATATGCAGAGAATATACGTAATGTCGGTACAGTATGGGTTGAGGAGTGTGGGATGTTGTGTTTATATGTATATACATCAATAAGATCTCTATTTGTACGTATGAAAGTGTGTGTGTGTGTTCTTGGCCTCGATTATCTGAATCTGTCCTGGGCCTCCCGGAGGTCGACTCAGCCTCAAATGAGTACCTGGTGCAGTGTGTAAACATCGCCACTGGGGAGAAAAAAGGTGGCTGGGCGTGGTGCTGGCCACCCATCCCCTCGTGTGCCGTGCCGGCCTTCAAAGGTGCTCGCTAACAGCACTTGCCTCAACAGTCTGTTAAGGCTACACGGGGGGATCTGTGTCTTGGCCTCGCCTATGTCGACTCAGTCCTAAATAAGTACCTGGGTCTGTGTGTAAAAAATATCTCGGCGCTGGGGGACAGAGGCGGTCGGCAATTGTGTTTGCCGCACCCCGCCCTTCATGTTGTGACAGCCCGTATGGGTATGAGCTAACACTTGCCCCGACAGCCTGTGTCGGCTTCATGGGAGATCGTTGTCTTTGTGGATACAAATTGCGAGCAGCATTTTCTTCATCCCTAAATATGGGTAGTGGTGGTGGAGTGGTTACTGCATTCGTTTATGAGAGTAAAGTCCCAGTGTTCAATTCCAGGTTGTGCATCACCATGAGCAAATTGTGTCTGAATTTGTCCTGGGATTTTCTCTGAGTTGACTTGGCCCAGAATTAGTATCTGGTGCATTATGTCAACATCAGCATTCGGGAGCTGAAATGCACAATTTATATACAGCAGTTTATTTTCCTTGGTATTTTGATTTTCATTTTGAAATACATTGTATAAAGGCTTCCAGGCAAGCCACAAAATGATATTTTAATTAAATGTAGATGCCAGTATTTCCACCCATTTCCTCATTTTACACACGAACGGCGTGGAGAATAATCTAATCCATTTGGACAAACTTTATTATATTTCTTTTCTTTAACACGTTTGAGTAATAGTTGAAGAGCTGTAGGCTACTCATTTACCTGAATTAAACATTTTTCATGGTACCATTTCTCAATCCAGGTTTTTTTCTCTCTCTTGAAACATGTCCCGTTGAATATTTCTCACGGCCCTCAGTAAGTTATGAAACAGGGTATTTTTAATAACTTCAGACGCAAGTTACACTGATGTATTTAACTTGCAGGCCCAGGGTAGGGATTATTAAAACAGTTTTCATTAGCTCACAATTGCTCATAACGGTACAGGAATATTAATCTTGAATGCAAATCCCGTTGTTAACTGTCACACACGTGCCGCCCCCATTAATTATGAAGATGGTTTGCAAATGAGCACAACACTCACGAAATCGCAAAAAAAAGTTAAATGAGGAGGCCCTATGCCCACTTTTTTTCTCTGAATTTTAATTGTTTCTTGCTTAATTATGTAGCATGCAATACGGCCGGTAAACACAAAGAAACTCTAATCGCATAGTAATGCCTCAGAGGCTGTGGTATTACTCACTGACATTCCCAAATGCTCTCTGGGACTTCCCGCTCAACAGCAGAAGCTACAAATTTCACTGATGACTAGGCAGGCAAATAAAATGGGCGATGACTTCAAATTGTATGATTTATGCAGGAAGCACACAGCTGCTTGGCCGGGAATTGCCCTTACCTGTTTTTTCCCCGCACAGATGTTATCAACTCGGCGACGCCTGCGTATAATTTCGATACCGTTGAAAGATTCAAAGGCATCGGGGGTTCCTGTAAGCGTGACCTTGTACGAAGACTTCTGGGGGCGGGGGAGAGCACTTCACTGTCAATGTTCGACAAACTTAGAGCGCGTTGTCGAACGCTAAACACAACGAGTAGCGATAAGATATGGTGTTGGTTATTGTGCATTCCACCCTAGCTCCCGCCTTCTCTGCCTACGAGCAAATGCTGCAACTCCCATCGCTTAATTGTACAACACTGTGGCATAGTATCCATCCCCATCCAAATATATTGCACAGTTTGTATATCAGGAATTAACATAAGGGGGGCCAAGTGTTTAGAAGGGGGGATCAGCCCCTCACTTTTAATCCCCTGCCCCCCCACTCCCACCCACCTCACACTACAGGGCTGAACGATATTGCTGCCTGATGCCTCATTAGGAATTATTTTTCGTGAAATTATTTAATGTCCTTTTTATTTTTCTGGCCATGCATGACGTTACGTAACACTGCAGTCAAAACGCATTTACTGTACGTCCCAACAAATTTCCATCCTGCACTTGTCGCAGAAATGCCTAAGCCTTTACTTTGTGTTATCGTTATGTGCGGGAATCCCATGCAGACATGAGCAACATGTATTATTCCGGGTTTATTCAAGCCCATCACATAGCATGGGCACATGGCTTGTCAGTTAAACCGGAGAAAAACAGTCAACACAGTGACTCCTCATTGGTCTGGCCCGTCAGTGATTTATGGCCGAAATCTTCAAAATATCTGATGTTTCCACATTTTCACATCTGTGCATTTTGTCGAAGGGGTAAATTGTTGCTTCTCACGCACATCAGTATTGTCGTGCATTGGCAGCTATTCTCCATCTACTGTTAGATGTTGTTACCGATTTCTGGTGCCGCTTCACTTGGTTTGGTAGGCCTGCTGTTGGTTGTTTCAATGATCAATGTTTTACTTTCAATGCAATAAGACCACAATTTGTATTTCATGGGCAATTCATTGCAACAAATAATTCCCCTCGCTTCATTCTCTCGTAAATGAGCTTTAATTGTATAAATCAGTCCACAGTTGGATGAAGGCCTCCTCACACTGTAACAGGTCCTGACCATACCTTGCCAAGTTGACGAGTGCTGGCTGGTGATGTTGGGGGCCAACATGACTAATTCAGATACCTCTCACGACTTGAAGTTTGCCGTGATCGAGACTCGGACTCAGGTTGCTCTGTTTTATCACTGCAGTACGCTCACCCCGGCACCGCAGTTCCACGCGTGAAGGCTACACGCATCATAAATGTGCTTTAAATAAATAAATAAGATCCCATTTATTTTTATTTTTTCCCCATGAATGTTTCCCGCATTATTTGGTCGGGAGTATTTTTGGCCCTCACGGGCAATGAAGCCTTTCGTTTTTTGATTTACGAGTGATCATGAAGTCCTGTGTAGTAGAAACATTCATAAACATACTACATCGTTAAGCCGACACTTTCTTGTGTTCCAGTGTCGTTATATATGTACGTATGTTAAACGCCATTCGCATTGTACGTAGCCAACCGTGCTAAAAGTCAAGTGACATTTAGTTTTAGTTTTACATATTTCTATTTGAGAACTTGCAATGAAGTAGCATTCTTACAATACTCTTTTTTAAATAAATACTAATATCAGTTTTGCTACATATGAATCTAAAAACCCAGCAGTGTTAATTTAATATGTCTAAACATTGCTCATGAGACCCAGAAGGTCAACACTGGTTTAGTGTTGCTTATTTGTGTAACCTAATGCCACTGATTACCATAAGTCCTGGAAGATCAGTCGGAGTAAAACATGTATTAAGGCAACAAAATGAACTTACATCTAGCTCTGAAGCTGGCGAAAGGCGTGGATCCTTCTTGATTTAGTTCTCGTAGCATGAACCAGGGTGAGTCGCGAACTGCTTCCTGGAATTTTTAGCGTGAAATTGGCACTGTCTCGGCAATGGCTAACGGCTGTCACGCCATCATATAGCGGCTCTTAACTTCATGAATAAATGTATCACTTTCTAATATTGAACTGTCCTAGCACCCTAGAGTAATGCTCACATTGAATTATTTTATTTTTCTTTTCCACCCCAAGCCTCTTTCTGCACTTATATAAAATGATATTGTGTAATGTGAAAATATAATTTCTTACCCACGTTTTTTCTCTCTCTCGCCCCGTAGAGAAAAGTGTGCGACTGTTTTAGTCTTTTAACGCTGTGGGTTTAAGCATTATATATTTATATATGTACATTACTCAACTTCTTTATTACTTGGGTCATGGGAAGTTTAATCAAATAAAGCATCTGCTGAAAGGTTTAATTGAGAGTGTTTTAGGGTTAATGCGCTGGCGCCGATAATGAATACATTCTAATGATATTTTCATCTAAGCGGACCCGAGACTCGTGAAGCCACGTTCATAGTTCACGGTTTCACCTCGTAAGGATGTTGTCAACAGCAGTGCCCTCGGTGCAGAATGCACACATCTGTCACAATCGCGAGCTGTGGTCATTCCACTGCTGGATGAACGGCGTCCGGCAATCCGTTGTCATCGCTCACAATCCTGCGATGTAACAACCCGCCGAGCACCAGCCCTGCGCTACGCGCCGACTGCCGATTGCAGAGTTGGATTGCACAGCAGAGTTATTTTTTGCAATTTTGGGGGCCAGCCACGGGAGCACGCAAACGCGTGTCCACCCACCACTCACTTTGGCATTGTTTATTTTCTGTCTATGCACGGTGGCCGATGTTTGTAATGACACAGCTGCTTCTCTGCCACAGAGTTTGGCCAAGGAGCTCCGACAGTGGCAGATAAGCGTCGACGCGGCGAACGACCTCGCCCAAAAGCTGCTTCGCGACTACTCCGCCGATGACACCCACAAAGTCGAAGAGATGACGGGGAAACTCAACATGGCTTGGTCGGACATCATCCGACGGTAATTTTTACCTTCCACAAATCGTATTTTTGTTTGTTTGTTGTGTGTGTAAATGAACACACCTCCTCCAATGTATTATATAATAACAATAGATAATAATAATAATACACATAATGATAATTTCGAATTGATACACGTGTGCACAGGTTCCGGTCGCTCTGAGATCAAGAAAATAGTTCAGAGGTGCGGGAAATCACAGTCAAGCTTGGATGGGGTGGGGGGTGAGCTGACGCCAGGTGCCAATAATTACCCAAGCTCTTTTGGTCTATACTTCACATATATATTTAGTTTGCGGCTTATAACGAGATGTTCAGCAAGCTCCCCGTTAGCAGTGTTTACACACGTGGGAGGAAACCGAAGTGCCCGGAGCAAACCCACACACACGACAAGGGGTGGAGCCAGGGGGGGGGGTGACAGGGGTGACATTCTGAGTGTAAGTGTACGACACTCGGTCTGGCGGACTCAGTGCAACTGCATTGTCAGAGTGTGTCGCCAACCGATGGCGTCTAGTTCAACAGCCTGACTCTCTAAATCATTTCTTGAAATTAACATTTGTTGAATGTCACCCCGCCCTGAAATCCTGGCTCCGCCCCTGCACACGACAAGGGGGGGGTGGGCGGACAACGCCAAATGGCTTTGGCCATCCAAGAAATACTGAAAAACTTGTGCTGATTTATACAGCGCCGTTGCACAATTCTTTAGCCAAAAGTTAAGTTTTCAGCCGTGAAAGCCCGCGTGCCAATAAATCTGGCTGGATTGGAAACCCTCCTTCTGTCCCCACTGCAAGGCATTTACACGCACAGCCTTTTGCTCTGCGTCAATAAATCCCAAAACAACATGACACAACTCATAAATGCCAGGCCGTTTTGGGAGGCCATTAAATTCCGTGGCCTGTTATTGGTGCCGAGCCGTATTGATCCTGTGTTATAAACCTTGAGCTCTCGCTTATCAAATAAAACAAATAAAACTATATAATAATGTTGTTTAATATGTAAAATACACTTGTCAGGTTTGCACATGTTAATAATGTCATTGCATTTGGCTGGTCCACCCAACACTTCTGAAATATGTGAATAAGCAACGCCATGACAATGTAATTAATGGAGTAAATTACTTTTGTATTAATGCTTTGCACATTTAGTCCAGTTCATTCTCAGGTTACATGTGATGAGCAAATATGGACTACTGATTGTATGTTTGAAAAAATATAAATATGTACCTTATTTATAGACTTTATTTGATTTCACTGTATAATCATATTTTAACGTCATATTGTCTGTTATGCAGTTCAACATGAACACGACTGAACATACATTAAGTTACAATCTTATTGTAGCGTCAGTGTCAAAGTCAAAGTAGTGTGTGCGCAAAACGTTTTAGCGGGTTACTCATCTTCTGTTCACAGCCCTCTTCCAAGCCACGGGTATTCCACACTCTTGTGGTGTTGGTGATGAATCTTTCTAAAGGTCAACCTCGGGTGACCTCTTACAAAGTGGTGCTCAATTTATTGACTTGGATTTGAACTTGTAACCTTTTTATTTATGATCCGCACACTTTTAACTACGTTTAACTACTGCTCCACTTTGCCGTATGCATAGTGTGTATGCATTTATTAGGCCTGTAATGCTTTATTGATCCATCAACTGAAATCGATTCCAATGCTCGCGGCGACATGGATTGAGTCACGCTTAATCACAATCGATGATTTACTGATTTGTGCGCAGCACGATACGCACTATTGTTACCATTTGGCCGATACAGAGAGACACGTTGAGATAATCCAAAGTGAACAAAACAAACGAGGCAGAAAAGAAAATTGAGAAGCGATAACAAACAAGATTGGAGAATCCATAAAAAAGGTTTTTTTTGGATTAAAATGGATTGTAATTTATATGAATACATTAACCCCCCCCCTCCCCTTTACTCCTCGCACCTGATTGGCTCACAAGTGACGACATCATTCACCCCCTCTATTTTAGATGGAAACAGGAGGATTTATCCACAACTCTGGCTGTCGCCTGATGAGGCTGGTTGTAATTACCGGCGAGACGTCACGGTACTCGAATTGTAAATGTTGTGGTGGGTTTACTGTCCAACACACACGCGGTGTGCTGAACGAGTAACTTCTTGGCATGTTTTTGTTTATGTGACAAACCTCACTAATTGGTTGTGTCGAGTGGTGGCGGGTTTAATGACACATTTATATTTACACGATCTATCTCAGAAAAAAATCTTACGGATAATATTGGTCGCGAAGCCTATGTGTTAAAGATTGGAGAAATACATGACAAGACGAATTGATTCTTGAATCTGATTTGTGACAATTCAACCCATCGATGTGGAGCTGGGGGCATGGGTGATGGGATTCATGATATGCCCTAACAGTCATTATCAGTCAATACCATTTACAATGGGATGCTGCCCCAATGGTCTTATGGTGTTAGCACACTGGACTTGCAATCCAGACGTTGCAGGTTTGTTTCTGTTTAAATAATGGGAGAGTTTCTGAAATTCACCCCTCCCCCCACCTCTGCTTACCCAATAGTATAAATGGGTTCACCAAGGTCACGTTTAGTGGGGTAAAGTGTGGGTGCTTCCAACTCCTCCAAGACTTTTGGCCAGTGTGAAAGTGTAGGCCAAAATACTTTATAAGGGGGCTCTTTAGAACTCCCTCTGGTGGAGACATTTCTTCCAGCAGTGATGTGAATATAGAATGGCAGGGTTGAACCTTCATCCTTACCATGTACACAGTCTATTAGGTGCACAAAATAACCCCGAGCATTGAAGGTGGAGGAGATGAAATCAAACGTATTTGTTCAATTGAGCAAGGTTTTAAGAATTTCGGAAAAGAGACAATGAGTATGCAGGAATTCCAAAGAAAGGAAAAAAATCCGAGAGACATGTTTTGACAGTACGGATAGATGAAATGGACAGACTGGTAGACTGAATCCTGCACAGATAATGTGAGATAGCATTGCTGGGGACGGTGTGTGTGGCTTTGTGTGCATGATGATTATCTAAACTGATCCTCGGCCTACCCGAGGTCGACTCCGCCTCAAATGAGTACCTGGCGCAATGTGTAAACAATCAGCACTCGGGAGAGGTCCGGGCACGGTGCTGGCCACCCACCCCCTCATGCATCACGGTGCCGGCCTTCATATGGATTGCGACCCGCGAACAGCACTTGCCCCTACAGTCTTGTTAAGGCTACACGGGGGGGGGGGTGGGGTCTTTGTCTTTGTGTGCGCATCGTGGCTCAGCCTGAACGACCGCGAGGCCGCCCTGGAGCAGGCCGGCAAGCGCGTTCAGCAGTACCACCTGGACCTGGAGCGCTTCCTGGCGTGGCTCTCCGAGGCCGAGACCACGGCCAACGTGCTGGAGGACGCGAGCCAGAAGGAAGGCGTGCTGGAGGGCTCGCGGGACGCACGCAACGTCCAGCGGCAGTGGAAGGTAGGGGGCCTCCCGCGCCACACACTTCATAACTCATCGGATTCTCCCAGTCTAATTACAGATTCTGACTCTGACGCGTGTGCACGCACGCATGCAGCTCACGGAAACCGAATGCCGACACAGTTGTGGGGGCGCCACCGTGGCGGAGATGTTAACTGCCTCGCCTTGGTATGCAGGAGGTCGTGGGTGCGATCCCGACCCTGATGATGCCGGGATTTGTGGAGTTTGTGTGTTCTCCCCCGTGGTCGCGTGGATTTTTCTCCAGGTCCTCTGGCTTTTCCCTCCACATTTAGAATCAACGTTCGTTCAGAGTATTTGGTGGCTGATATAAATTACCACGCGATAAGCCACTTCGTTGAGCTATCATTTGTGGCCAGGTTGCTTCTGAAAAAGAGCTACATAGCTCAATTGGCTTTACTTGGTAAAATGAAAAAAAATATTTTATAGTTTAGTTTTGCAGTCGCCGTCGTGATTTATTTGTATTTTTTTTGCAAATCTAAATTTAGGCTGTATCTCAAGAGAGTAATGATAAGTCCTCGAGCAGTTCTGGTGTAGGTTCCAGAGGGGAGAGCCTGAATCTTCTGGAACAATCCAGAATAAAGAAATGGATGTTTAGCAGAGTGGAAAGCTTGACGAAGGAAGTTCTAGAAGGAAGGATATTGGAAAAGAAGCTGAGAGTCTTAAAATAAAAAGGCCTGCTCGACAAATTCTAAGGGAAGTGTGAAATTAAAAGGAATTCTCAAGATGGGCGAGGATGGACTGGTAGAGATCTAAAGAGGAAGAATCTCAAGACTCTGACTACTCAGATAAGCAGTTGGCCGTGCCCGTCACTTTCGGTGGTCTTGAGGAAGTGGTGAAAATTGCAGATTCCGAAGGTCAGGACTGGCAAACTAAGTCATCACCGTCTCTCATATTTTCATGCGTGGGTTTTTTTTCCAAGCACTGTGGTTTCCCTCCCACAAGCCAACACACTCGTTAATGAAATTGGACACACATGCCAATACAGGGCTCTTCTGAGAAAGAGTATTGAGGCTCAGTGAGGCTCTTCCCTGGATAGATAAAGGGCATTTTCCCATGATTAAATTTTTAGGGTATCACCGTTGAATTCCCACTAAGTGTTGCTCACCAGGTGGTGCTTGTCTTCACCGCTCTTGGGAAGATGACGCTGATGGAGCTGGGTTGAACTTTTGCAAGGATTTGAATTCACTTTCTCATGATTGAGAGCCCTGCTGCTCTGTACAATTATCTCGTGTGGTTTACTTGTCTTCCCAATTCATCACGTATACTTATTGTATATGTGCTATATAAAGCATACGTGACAAGACGAAAGAAATGCGTGACTTCACGTAATTTCCTGACTGCTACGTTATTGTTTACGTCAGTGTGGGCCACTTGTGGCCCCTAGTGGCCTTTAGTGCGGGCCCTGACGTGCTGTTAAACCCCAACGGTTTCAAATATGTGGAGGCCCTCACACTGATGATGTCTTATCGAGCGAAAGTGACCTCCTGAAAATTAGTCAAGAACACTGGGTCACTGTTTTTTTTTTCCCTCAGTGCAAAATTTAGTTAAATATATTTCTATTAAAAAATTTCCAAACGTTTTCCAATAGGGCATAGGTAATGTCCGAGTGTAAAAATACAATGCGTCTACATATATTGTAATGCTTGTAAATGCTGTTGCCGTTTGTTAGGTAACCGTTAACCGTCTACGTGCAATCAAGAGTTTTCTAACACTACCTGGCAAAACCAGACTGGATTTAAATGAACGCTGTGTTATACAGATATAGTCCCACCAGTGTCATTGTGTGACATTTTGCCAAAAGCTTTTACTAGTGCCAAGACATTTATTTTGCCAGATAATTTATTCGTGATGACTCCTATTTACAATTTCTTCAACATGCCCGACCACTGTTGCCAAACGTACTGCATCACACACAGGGTAATTCTGCCTAATTTCATGACGGTCTCACTTTCATATTTTTCAAATAATGACATTTTTTTACTATTGTGAACGAGAGGGCACTATACGTAGCTGAGCCCCCCCCCCCCACCAATACCCCCGACGTCACCATCTCTTTCCACCCCGGTGCCCCCATTCCTTGGCCACACTCACCGGACCCTCTGCCCCTGGCGCACCCCAAACAATGACAAAGATCCCCCTTATAGCCTTAACAGGCTGTTGGGGCAAGTCTTGTTCGCGAGCAGCACCTATGAAGGCCGGCACGGCACGCGAAGGGTTGGGTGGCCAGCACCACGCCTGCCCGCCTTTGTCTCCCCAGTGGCGATGTTTTCGCACACCGCACCAGGTACTCATTTGAGGCTGAGTCGACCTAGGGAGGGCCCAGGACCGGCTCAGATCACCAGGTTCGTAGTGCAGCGCGCTAACTGCGACACCACCGCTGCCTCCTGGCGCACCCCTCCCCCATGCACAGGGCACCCGTAGGGCTCCTCCCGTCGCTCCCCCCTCTGTTCGGAACGCATCTACCACCTGTAATCATTTACATCCCCTTGTCAATCTACTGCTGGATGAATGCCATGTCGGTCATGAGGGTTGTTTGACCATACTTCACCACGCCGGTCAGTGCGAGTTGACGACAGGGACAAACTAGAACTGTTAGTCAGGCAGGTTCATAGCCCGATGCGCTCACCACTGCGCCCACCAAACCATCCGCCCGCATTTCTCTTTTCACGTGATTAAAACTTACAAATCCGTGGTGACGCACAACAGATGTGGTCAGCCTCCTCTGAAGCACGGTCTGGATAGATGCACATCACTAACAGGGCAAATGCGTCCCACGTTTTCTCTGCAGTGCATCCATCAGGCACAGCCGATGGATTGAACGCGAATTATGCGGCCGGGAAAGAAGCTGTCATTAAATTAACTGTGACGTTCACACGGGGCCTGCAGTGACACACTCGGGAGGGCTTCGCTATGCTTCTGCCGTTGCTCCGGCAGAAGGTTTGACCCCCTCCACAGGGAGATGTTGGTCTTGATCGAATGAGATCCGGAGCAGAGGCACCCTTTCACTTGCCGCCCTGTTGGATTGCTGCGGCAGATGATGAATGATTTCTGATGGAGATGCCTTGGCAATGGATGAACGTCGGATAGAAAAAATGTGGCGCGTAGACATTCACGAACGTTCTTCAGAGGGTTAGAAAAAAGAACATTGTCGCTTGGTTTTGAAAAAAAAATTACATTCTTACATTGCTATTTTATTGAGCAGCTGTTAAACTTAGCAGGCTTTCAGTGTGTTTAACACGTGTGATTGTCTATATGTAATTGTCAGTGTAAATCAAGGACGTTTTATGAATGCAACTTCATGCTGTATAAAATAAATTAAAACCACAAAAACAATTGTTATTTTCTCAAAATATTAATTTGCAGTGCTCCAAGGAATTAGTTTAAGCAAATATATGTATTAGTTATATAAATAGGGTCTCATAATAAGTTAACCTTAATCAAAAAATTAACAGTTTCCAATTTAGTCACGGTATTTGCATTATCTCTATTGCTGTACAGATGGAAATCTATAAAATTGTTGTAAAGGAGGCAAATTTGAATGAAAGTTTTAGAGGACAAGCATGCATTTTATTAAAATCCTTACAAATACAAAACATCTCTATTAAAATTGTAATACAATATCCTTGCAGCTTGAACAGAAACGAAAGCTTAAAATTCAAATGATAACATCTAATTTATTTTTATGAGGCAATTTGTAGACCTTTATGAATAAGGATTGTCGATGCATGGCCAACCTGCATAGTCTCACCATGTACCACCCTTAACGGACCCCCCAATCGACGCCAATTATGATCCATAGCCCGCTGCGATCTGCTGTCCCGCTTACGGGATCCATCCTTGAGTCTGTGCCAGTTTTGCAATAGACTTGAAACAGTGTTGTTCAAAAAGGGCTGACTCTGTGTGTTCAGCGCAGTACGCTTTTCATGGATCTGACTCAGTGCACAAGAACAAATGTTCAAACCAACGAGCTCTCTGACCAATCTTTAATGTTAATGTTGCCATCTTTGTAAAGCTGATCAGTAGTCCTACACACTTGACACCTCACTCCCAACCGTTTCGCAATCAATACCAAAGACCCCTGTCACGTGATTTACAAGGGTCGCCTTCTTGTGTGCTATGTCAGCCCAAGTACTGGACATCTGTGGAAAAGAGCTTGATAGCTCATCGGATTCCCCCAGGAGAAACAAATGTTCTGATTCTGAAGTTCCATGTCGGACGAGGGTGACCTCTGGTCCTTGGTGTTGACCTCGCTTAAAGCCCCCTCGTGTGCCGTACCGGCCTTCGTAGCGCTTGCTCGCTAACAGCTCTTGCTTCAAGAGCCCTGTGTAGGGGATCTTTGTCTTTTTATTTTTGCGTGGCGTAAAAAGCGCCCCTAGTTGGACGTGAGCCAAGGTGGGCACGACTGGCGGCTGCCGTCGTGATGGCTCCTGTGGGGTGTATGCTTGCCCTGCCTGCAACGTGCGTACTATTTTTAATATGCTGCTGTCCCTCGTGTTAGAGAGCGGGGGTTTATAGTTGGTGCCAGGGCAGGTGCACGATAAGCCTGCGAGTGTTTCGCAGACACGGCTGCGGCTACAATAACAGCGGGAGCCATCTGCGTCACTCCGTTTACCACGCGTCTCTCCCCCGCTGCGTCTCGCTCTCCAACGCATAAATCACTCGCGATGTGATGTGTTGTTATTATTGTCATCATCATCATCATTATCTCTTTTTGTTCTGTTTTTTTTTTTAAAGAAATGTGTGGTGTATCTGTTCGTGTTGCTGGCTTACTGGATATCATGATCTATAAAATGGATGCTGACGTGGTGCAGAGGTCACCGGCTTGATCTTGTGCCACAGTGGTTGAAACAATGAGACAAGTTTCTTAAATCTACCCCTGCCTCCGTCCGCCCAGCAGTATAAATTACTTTATCGCTCCACTACTGGTGAAAGGACCTCCGCTAGAGGGATCTCTGGAGAGCCAATCGAGAGAGGGTATT